CACAAGTAATTAAATTATCCCAGCAGCTTTGTTTTAAAGATGAGAAGAAACAGGTGGAATTGGTGTCCATAACATACTGTTCCTTACCTCAATTATTGAAAAATATTTCTATTTCACGATCTATTCAATATGCTCTATTGACATGATTTTCATGAATTTTATGTAATCTCTCAAATTGGGTGACTTTTTAGAACCTCAGAGTGTCTCTGTGTGGACGAGCACACCTCATGCTCCAGGTGGCCGGTGCCCAGCACACGGCAGGTGGATGCCTGAGGTTCTGGAAGTGACTGTCCCTGAAGTTTTAGTTATAACCACCAGGGCACATGGAGGTGCCCTGACCCAGAGGCCTCGCTGGGGAGGAATGACAGCTCCACTTTCTACCTGAACCAGGTTATTGAAATCCCTGAGGAATGAGGGAATGCAGGAATTGTAATGACACATGTCCACACTACTTCTGTTCTCACAGGCAAGTATTAAATACATCTCCAATCTCAGATGAACTTGAGCCATCCCACATCTTTTTACAGTTAGTCATTATAAATTATAATGTCCCTGTGAATTGTATAATCAGTATTGGAATAAATATCCCTTCCAGCAGGTGGATCATTCCATAAACCTCGCATAGATCTAGAAGAAGAGGCTGATCATAAGGCATATTCTATTAAGCTTAGATGACTCGTTATTCTCCACAAAGGATATATTTGCCTAATTCACAAAATACGGATCTTACATTGAAAGTCCTTTCTCCCACATTGGTACCAAGTCACCTCATGTTGCAAAGAGACCAGAATCAAAGGTGTGAGAACTGGCCTGCAGGTGGGTCCACAGACCTCCATGGGGACCAGAGATGTGACATGGGAGGACGAGGGCCATGAGGATGAGAGGTACAGGGGCCTGGTTGACACATCCGAGTGGGAACAGAAGTGGCCTGTCTGAGGCACCTGGCCTGTCTTAGCATCACGATCCCTCTAGCCCCAACTCGGAGGAGCCAGACACAGGGTCTGTTGGCTGGGAAGGTGCAACACCCAAAGCTTCACCCTTGATTTCCACGGACAACATCTCAACACTGTGTAAGTGACTGAGCTTCACCCAATCCTCAGCAGAACTGCGTGTGCAAACATATACACTTGTTCATTCATTAAGTGGCAACTCCTTGTCGAGGTTGAAAATAATAGTGTAGCCCCCACAGAAAAAAAAGGTTTCATCTGTGCCCACCTATGATCTCTTGCAGGAAGGGGTATGCAGACACCTGCAACAGGTGAAACCCAAGATATCTGACTCCAGAGGGCTCCCCTGGAGACAGTGACTGCAGTGATTAAAGGCCAGCTGGGGTCACTATAAAGCTCAATGCTCAGTCCAGGGCTGAGACAGAGCCTCATGCTGAGACATGTGTCCTGGGCACCGCATGGATGGCAAAGGGCGAGGCTGAGTCCCCACCCCAACACGAGGACCATGGAAACACCCCTTACCCCAAAGCCTTGTTACCTCACCTCTCGGCATGACTGGAGAAAGGTGTTTTGGACCAGGGGCTCCCCTCACTTCCTTGTCAGGCCTGAAAATAAAGGAAAACTCCCCCTAGAGGGACCCACAGGAGAAGTCATCTGGGACAGTCACCGAAGCCCTTGGTCAGAACAGCCCTTTCCTGAGTGGGGAGGGGACAGTGTCTGTCACTGTGGTGACAAAGGCAGCTGGTGCTGACAGAGGCCCCTGCAGGACTAAGCCCTGATGTTCACATCTCCTCCTGCTGCTCCTGCCCCCAGTCAACACATCTCTCACCACGGTGTCCCTTCCCCACCTCCATGGAAGGGGGCCTAGTCAGTCCCTAGGAAAGCCCTGCGGGCAGCTGCCAAGCCACCTGGCAAACCTGCTGAGTATCAGCCACAGCTGGAGAAGCCCCGCCACGGCAGTATCTGTCCTGACACGGACCTCCTCACATGGGCCCCAATTCCCTACCGGACCCAATCCTGCAATAGCAGGGTGCTCAGTGATCTAGGTCCTGTGTCTCCTGTGTCCCCAAATGCTTCCTTCTAAACCTCAATCCTGCTGGGAGTCCCATTCACCCCACAGGGACCTGGAGAAAAGACATTAGACCAATTCTAGGGTCATCACCAGAAAGCTGAGATCCTAGACACTTCCCTGAACAGAGCCCCACACTGGAGCCCAGACTCCTGTGGGAGCAGGAGGAGAAGGAGGATCCCTCAGTTTCGGGTGGAGTCTACAAGGAAAACACCCTCCTGGTCTCTGGGGGCTGAACAGTCTGTGAAACCACAAAGCTCCCCAAGCAGCAGCCTCACCCTGGCTGACTCGCATAGCCAGCAGCTCTCTCCACCAAGGGGATAGACAGGCCTGGGGGAGTCTGCCCAGCCTCAGCCTCTGGGAACAGCATCAGGCACCACCATGGCCTGGACCCCTCTCCTCCTGGGCCTCCTGGCTCACTGCACAGGCATCTTACCAAAGGTGACTGCACGCCAGCCCCAGGGCTCTGGGACCAGCCTGGTACTGACTCTGAGTTCAGTGGGGGATGCCCCGGGGGCAGGATGCTCATGACCCTGGGCAGGAAAAGGTGTTAGGGGGCAGAGACCCCAACTGTGCTCACTACTCTGTGTGAGACTGAGGGGCTCTGCCTGCCACAGGAAAATAGGGGGTCTCATTTGTTCAAACGGTCTACCCCCCGAAAGGCCCATGGGTCAGCAAAGCTGAGAACAAAGGGAGTGTGTTTCCTGGAGCCTAAGAGACCCTGTATGAAGATGGTCATGCAGGGGGAAAGGGGCTTTTCTGGGAATTTCCTGGATCTCAGTCTCTGGAAGCTGGACAGTGAGAGAAGAAGGGCTGTGCATCCAGTGTTGATGTCCAACAGACACGGCATTTGGGAGACACTGACTCAGTCCTGTGAGGTCTGGCGACCTCCCTGAGGAAACAGGGGTGCATTAAAAGACAGAGGGAGGAAACATTTGTTCCATGTGTTAAAAGAAAAAAAATCAATCATTTAGGAAGTGCCCAAAGTTTTTGAGTGAAATCACATTTGGATGGTGAGCACCTCACTTACCAGTTAGGAAACTCCCTGGAGGGACCTGATGCTGCCGCCTCCCTGACTCCGGCTGTTTTCTGTCCTCCGGACACCTGCACCATCTCTCTGTTTTCCTTACTGAACCACCATTTCCAGACACAAACACCCTCCTCGTTATTAAACAGTCTGTGAGTCTGGACACAGCGCACGGAGGGGTCGCGCGGCCACAGTCTCCACGCAGAACAGCACAAGCCCTCTCTGTCCTTCCCCCGGCCCTGGGCGGTCACGCCTCTGCCCCAGCGCTGCCAGGGCTGATCCCTGCCTGTCCCCGGACTTGGGTCTTAGCAAAAAAGTCAGAAAAGGGAATCCCTATGCAAGCTTTAGTTTTTGCACCTTTGCTTCACCATAAAGCATCTGAAATTCTTTCCTGCTGCTGTGTGCAACCATAGTTCATTCTGTCTCCGTGCTGAGAAGTTTCCAGAGAGGGATGAACATCAGTTTATTGACCATTCCCCATAATTAGCCTTTGTTCTCTGTCTAGTTTCAACCTGGGCAATTTGGAATAAATCATTTATAGCATTTACTTGCAGGTTTTTGGTGGACCTTGTTTTTATTTCACTGGGGTAGGTACAAGGAAGGGAATTGCTGAGTCACGTGGCAGATAAATAATTAACTCTCCAAGAAACTGCTCAATCAGCTTCCAGTGTGGAAGCTGCTTTTGCACTTTCATTAACTGATAAGACTTGCCGCTGTTCTGCATCCTCATGCTTGCTGAGATTTTCAGATTTTTTTTTCTCGAAAAACTTTCTAGTAGGTCCGTACTGACATCTTGTTATTTTTCTAGTATTCATTTTCATGGTGACTTAGGATGTTGAATTCTATTCAAGTGTTTGTGTATTTTGTTTCTTAAAATGTTTAAGTATTTGCTCAATTTTTAAGTTGAAATTGTCCTGGTTTGTTCATATTAATTGATGTGTGTGTATGTGTGTGTGTGTGTGTGTGTGTGTGTATTCATTTCTCTGTGACTTTATCAAATGACAAGCTCAACTTTCACCCCAGCAATGAAGCCCTAACACAGCTGCATCGCCATGAGGATCCCCCATTTACCTTTCATAAGAACTTCCTCCCTCCCGCCCCTCAATCCTGTGCCTCAATCCTGACATCCTCTGATTTGTTCTCCTTTTTCACTTTCTTATGATGCTGTATAGAATTAAACAATGAATCCTATAATACGCTGCATTTGGGAACAGCATTTCCTTAGATGATTCCTTGATAGTCATCAAAATTATTGTTGCTTTAAGAATTCATTCCTTTCTATTTCTTATAATATCCCATGGCTCTGTTGTAGGAACATTGGTTTAACCACCACCCCAGGAGGGACAACGGGTGTGTCTTATGGACAGAGTGTGGTGGACATTGTTGTCTGGGTCTTTTCTATGAACATATTTTCCTTTTTATGAACTAAATACCCGAGTTTAATTTTTGGGTTGCCTGGTTGTTACCAGCCACATTTATAAAGAAACTGATGAACAGGAGCGGGAGGTAGAGGGGTGCAAACCAGGGAGGGAAGAGCACAAGGGACTGTGGTGATGGCTCATGGGGGATTTGGTGTGGGTGGAATTTTATGAGGATTACACCTGATAGGAGAAATCAAACATAAAAAATGAACAACGTAAAAATAAATAAATAAATATTAAAAAAAAAAGAAGAAACTGATAGACATTCCAGAGTGTTATCATGTCACATTCCTCCAGCCCACATGAGGGAACCAGATGGTGCCCTCCCGGCCAGCTCTTGTGCGGTCCCTCTACACATCAGCATTCTTAAGGGGTACAGGGTGGGTCTCAATGTGGTTTTATTTACATTTCTACAACAGCCAACATGAACCTCCTCCTGTGCTGTTTGACAGCTCTGTGTCATCTTCTGGAATATTGGACCTTTCCTGGACAACAGTGGCTTCTTGTGTATGTGCTCTCCAGACACCATCCATCTTCTGTTTTTGGTGATATCATCCTCTTCTAAACGATTGCAAAAGAAATGATTTTACCTTTAATGAGATGCAATTTATCAAATTATCTTTTATAAATAACAGTTTACCATGAAGAATTCTTGCCTAGCACTAGAGTCTAATGAATTCTCTCTGCATTTTTCTCAAAAATAGAAGCAAACAAAAGCCCCATCTTGGGGTCTCGCCAGATTTGTGGGTGGTGATGGAATCCGGACTCTTACACACCGTTGACCATGGTCCCCACACTCTGGCTTCAAACCCAGCCCAGCCCGAGTGTGTTGTCCTCACTAGAGAGGGACGCCAAGGGCACAAAATGAACTGTGAGTGTGTGTGTGTGTGTTGTGTGTATGTGTGTGTGTGTGTGTGCTGTGTACACAGGAAACACTGATTCACAAGTCACTGACAAGTTAGAGTCTCTAGTACAGGTAATCTGACTGGGGTTCATGTCACATCTTCTATAAGGTGAGTACTTTTCTATCCTTGAGAGCCCCTAGCAGGCCACAGGAAGTAAGTGGATTTGCATTCTACCTGAGGATAAGAAAGGCCCTGATTGCATATCCTAACTGCAGACTCAGAGACAGTTCCCGGGACAACTCCACCGCAGCCTATAGCCTGCCCCTGCTCTCCCTTCTTATTATCTGCCCAGGTGCTGGCCCTAGGGATCAGCCCACACACAAACCAGGGAGCAGTCTGGGCTTGTCCTTCAGCTCAGCACAAGAGATGCAGCAGGGGCTGTGCCCTCTGGGAATGACCCTCATCCTCACACTCACCTCTCTTCTCCTCTCCTCTTGCGGTTCAGTGGTCACTGCTGGGCTGAGTCAACCACAGGCAGTCTCTGTGGCCTTGGAAGAGATGGTCACGATCACCTGCCAAGGAATAAACAGTTATGCTAGCTGGCACCAGCAGAAGCCCGGGCAGGCACCTGTGCTGCTCATTGATAGTTTAGATGCCAGGCCTTCAGGAATCCCTGGGGCCAATTCTCAAGCGCCAGCTCTGGGAGCATGGCCACCCTGACCATCAGCGGGGCCCAGACGTGGACAGGTTGCCTACTACTGTCAGGTGTGGGATGAGGATAGCAATCAACTCACAGTGACACGGGGCCATGGAGAAGCGAGAAACAAACCCCTTCCTCTTCTGGTCACACTCTCCTGCAGCCCCAGGAGGATGGAGACACAGCCATGAGCAGCTCTGTCCCGGGTTCAGATCTGAGGTCCCCTGACTCCCCCTCCACTAGCTCCCAGGCAGCATCAGCACTGGGCAGATCAGGAGAAGTGAGACCACAGGACACAGTCATTTGCTTTCTTAACCATGGCAGTTGTGGGCATTGAGGTCCCAAGTGGAAGGACTGAGGGGACAGAGAAGAGCAAGTGCAGAGAGAGACCTCGGGGCTGTGCTCAGATTCCCAAGAGCACTGGGGAGCCCAGGGGTGAGGGAGGAACAGGATGGGCTGCAGGGATGCCTGCCCTGACAGAGGAAGCTGCCGACGTCACTCACAGGCACGCACTTTCTCTCTGTCACATAAATATTGAACTGTTTCCAGCAATATACAGAATAAAGATATTTTAAAATGCTTACAAATGAACACAGATCTCCAGTGGCACACAAGGAATCATTCACAATTCCTGGCAATAATCAAAACCATCTAGAGAATTATGGAAATATGGACCATAATTACACAGAAAATATCAATGATCCCAAACTGGTCTTGAAATTGCCCACCATACTGTAGACAAAGATTCTAAATAAATGATTATGACTATTCCCATTTGTTCCTGAGTGTGGGAACATAAAAAACATACCCCAACTAAAAGCTACAATTAAACAGGGCAGTACCTGACATTCTAACAAAACATCCCCCAGGCTCAACAACTGACAAGGATAAGATACCGGGAGGAAAATTAAAGCCACAAAAGAACAATATCAATTGTTTGATACAGGAGACAGACGGTGTTAAAAGTACGAAGAGCAAAGAGACTATAATAATATATAAGCGGGACAGCACAGAACGAAGCAGATAAGGAAAAATGCAGATGTGAGGATGGTGGTGAAGATCCCTAAGACAATGAAAGAAGAAATGATCCTGATTTTCACCAGTTTACTTTTCCTAATGTAACAAAAGCACAGAGTTAATCATCAGCTGACCAATAAGAGAAAACCTCTTCAGGCAGAAGAAATCAAACCAGAGAGAATCTGAATCTTCAAGAAGGAATGAAAAGAATCAGAAATATACCTGCATAGATAAGATGCTATTGCTAAATTCCCTTTAAAAGACATGTTACTGTCTAAAACAATATGCACTGACCATGTATGCTGAAGTTTATAATGCACATAACAGTAAATTGCTGGATAATTATAGCAAAATGAGTGAAAACAAATGATGTTTACATGGACTGTGCAATCTATGTGACAGGATGTAATATCACATAAACTAAATTGTGAATTATAATTATATGATGATTATAGTTACTAAGAAAAAACAAGGGGGGGGAAAGTGGAATCATACAATTTAATCAAAAAGAAGCAGACAAAGGAAAATGCAAAAACAAAACAGATGAGAAAATGAAATACCATAAAATATTGAAAATAAAGCCGTGGCATGTTTAAAAAATACCAATATACATTTAAAATACATTAATGCCCAGGCCTCCCTGGTGGCACAAGGGGTTAAGACGCAACCTATGAAGCTACCCACAGCCACTGCAGCACCAGTTCCATCTCCCACGAGGGAGCTACCCACATGGCGCATCAGACCTCTCCTGACTCGCCCGCTGCTCCCCTCAGCAGTGTACTTCTGTCCATCTGCCTGTTGTGTTCACCACTCTGTCTCTGGTGAATACTTTCATCCCCCACATCGCTGGCCTGTTCCCCAGTACGTGTATGCATAAATAATAAATAAATCTTTTAAAATATATATATAGATATAGATGCCCACTTTCATTGTAAATAATCAAAACATCACAATTAAGAACAGAGGCTATCAATTGAATTGAAAGCTACCGAAGAATGAGCTGCCAAGAATGTACCAACAGTAAATACAAAGACAAAAATCTGGGCCTCCCTGATGGTACAGCAATCGAGCGCTGGATTGTGAAGCTGCCTGCAGCCTCTGCAGTGCCGGTTTGATCCCCGGCCACCAGGCGAGGGTCCCACATGGCATGCAGACCTCTCCTGCTGCCTGCTACTCCCCTCAGCAGTGGATTTCATCACTCTGCCTGCTCTCCTCTCCCTCTGGCTCTGGTGAATTCTCTCACCCTCCCGCGCTTCTGACTGTACCCAGTGTTTGTATAAATAAATAAATAAATAAATAAATCTTAAAAAAAAAAAAAAAAATCTTAGCGCCAGTTCAGACTAGGCTGAGGTAGAAACCCTTCAACACAAACTCTGAGAAACACATGGTGATAAAAACACTGGTAAATACTCATGAATAGTGACGTGGTGAGTGCATTTGAGTTTCAGGTTAGGAAATACCAGGAGCTCCTGGTGATGATCAGCCTCCCCTTGCCGTGGGGTGGAGGCTTCCGCCAGAATCTGAGGTGACATGAAGGCAGGGACTACTAGAGCTTCACTCAGGTTCCAGAGCTTTCAATTTTTCAAATGAACAAATCATCCAGGCTAGGGCACTTAACCTGCGGGATGTGCTTCAAAAATCTGATGTGCCCTGCACCCCTTTGATGCCTATTCTATCTAGCTGCGCTCTGCCAGGAGGTCAGGGCATCACAGCTGGCACAGGGAAGGACTGGACTCTGTTCAACACTCTCTCCTTGGACAGGGGCTCTGGGGTGACTGGCAAGGAGGTTCCTGGGATGAGCTCTCCTCCACCAGCAGGGGGCAGCAGAGCCCCAGGACAAAGCTGGGCTGCCCAGAAGCCTCAGTGAGAGACCAACCTGCCCTGGGGCCTGGGAACCAGAACAGCTTCAGAGGAACTCAGCACAGCCAGGCCTTCCTCCAGGCTGCAGTGACCATATTCTGAGGGTGAGAGTCAAGTGTGCTGCCAGGACACTGATGGGACCAGGGGGCATCACCAGGGAAATGAAGCCACAGAGGCTGTGCCCAAGTAGCTGACTCTGTCTGCTGGCATATCAGGGGCATCTTCACCACTGCCCACCACATCACCTCTCCCTCCTCTGGCTGACTGTGAGCTCGGGCTATACCTTCATTGCTCAGGATATCAGGAGGGGCAGGCCCACTTCTAGGGACACCCTGGGCCCTGGATTTAGATCTGTGGCCACAGTTAAGAGACCCTCTCCAGAGTGAAGTTGATTCTCCCTTCTCTGGTCACAGTCTGGTCACGAGCTGTCCCTGGCTGAGTTAAGGATCCACATGCCCTGGGGAATCCCTGACCATTTAGTCCCCTGAACTCTCCCTCTGTGCAAAGACCATGACCCTGGTGGCCTTCAGAGACCATGGAGCCTAAACAGGGTTTTTTAGCCAGGTCTGGATTTCAAAAGCTTCACATCTTATATGAAACAGTAGTGAAATCCTAGAGTGTCACTGTCAGTGGTGTGTGAGCTGTCACAACAAACCCAACACCACATGGAAAAAGAGACAAAGCTGTGATCACTCTTCTAGAGGGGACAGTTGTTTAACAAGGAAACTTCCATGCACCCAATAGTGGACAAACAGCCAATGACACAGGCCACACATGCACATTCTTACGACAGGCCCAGGATGGGACAAAGTGCACCTGGGGTACACGGGAGGATGCCAGAAGGAGAAAGATGATGAGGGGGTCTGGGAATCCCCAACCCTGACATTGCTGGTTTCTGATCTCTCTCATGGTCCAGCTCAACCCCAGCCCAGTCTCCAGGAAGTCCCTGCAGTCGCAGCCAGCCAGGACAGACCCCAGCTGGGGGCCTGAAGGCTATGTGGGGTCCCACCCCAGGAGGTGACTGTGATTACAGACCTTGGAGGCCAGGCTGCCTTTCTGACATGACGAGCATGTGCTAGATGCTGACACTCCTGCCAGGAGCCTCAGTCACCTGTTCAACCCTACAGTTGTTCCCCATCTTAGTGAGGAGCCCCAGGGGAGCAGTAATTTTCTACAACAACCAAACCCTCCCACCCCCCAGGGTCCCAGAGGGCATTAAGAGTGGGTTCTTAGATCCACCCTTAGGGCCTAGATACCAATAGTTCCCTTAGCCCAAGGGGCCTGAGTGCTGACCTTTAAGAACACGCCTCCCCCTCTCGCCAGCGCCCTCCAGTCCTAACCCAGGCATTGCTTTCTGACTGGTTCATTCATCTCACAGTGTCTTTTCAGAGGGGATAGGTTAGAGAGAAAAGAGTCCCATTGAGTTAGGAAATGAAGGTCAGGACACAACTCAGGGACATGGGGAGACAGAGTCCATTGAAGGGGGTGCAGCACCCACATCTAGAGAGCAGGACAGATCCAGGCCAGGGAACAGCAGCTGAGAAACACAAAAAATTCAAAGCAAAGCCCCGTCAAAGGAAGAACAAATCCAGAACTACCACCCCAGCAATAAAGGCAGCCTCGGGGATCCCACCAATGACAACTCATATTTGAGTCCCCTCCCAGGAACAGGAGCTTTGCTTTGCTGCATCTGCTTCAAAGTTGTCCTGCTTTGCTCCTAATGAACTTTGTGCAAACTCCCTGATCTTTTGTCCTTTCAAAGCGACGACCAGCTCCCTGTTCCTTCTGGAACTGGGGAAGCCAGACTGCCCATGTGACTATTGAGGGTCGCCTTGGCACTGGCATTGTCACTCAGCACTAGCTCCCTGGAGGCCCATTAGTTATTGTTGCCTTAAGAGGTCATTCCTTTTTGATCATGCTCAGCGTGGTAAGTCAGAAGGAAAGAGAAACATGTCGGATGGTTTCTTTATAGGAGGGAATAGGGAAACCAAATAATGGATCAGGGGGAAAAAAGACAAACCTAGTAGCAAAATACAAATCAAAGACATTCAGCTGGGGAGGGTGAGGGAGAGGGATCAAAACAGGGGAGGGAAGAGCACAGGAGACTATGGTGACGTTTCATGGGTAACTTGGTTGTGGGAATGTTATGGGGATTACACTGGAGAGGAGAATGAACAATGATGTAAAAAAAAAAAATATATATATATGTATATGTATATATTGAAATTGAGGGCCTCTCCTGGTGGCACAGGCGGTTGAGCACAGTGCTGTGAAATTGTCCGCAACCTCTCCAGCGCCGGTTTGATCCCGGCTGGCCAGTGAGGGTTTCACATGGCACAGCAGACCTCTCCCGTCACGCCAGCCGCTGCCCTCAACAGTGTATTTCGCCAGTCTGCCTGTTCTGATCCCCGCTCTGTCTCTGCTGAATCCTCTCACCCTCCTGCATCTGGACAGTACTCCGGTTCTTGTATGAATAAATAAAAAAACTTAAAAATAATAATTATAATAAATAAATAAAAAATTTAAAAAAATAGAGAGATTTCCAACATCTGGTTAATCAACACCAGGCCTGGCATCTGTTTTCTCTCTGGACAGCACTTGGAAATGCTCTTATGAACAAAGGTGTCATGATTATTAGTGATTGGACCTTCTGTGAACATGACTTCTCAGGATCTGAAGTAAGTGCCTGAGAGAACCACCACGGGCCTGTGTGGGAAATGCAGGTTTTGTTTCTTCAGACACCTGCAAACTCTTTCCAGAGTTGTGGTTAATTTCACCCCATAGTCAGGTGTGAGGGCCCCATTCTCCTCAACCCCGCCAGTATTAGGGGTCCTATTATCTACATCAGCCAATCTGAGGGCACATGGGGACACCATATCCTCAGGTTACATTGGCGTTTCCCGAAAACACATGACAAGTACCTGCTCCTGCTCCCGCCATCCTACATCCTCCACACAAGTGTTGGTTCCACTTATTCTGCTTTCCTAGTGGTTGTATCTTCACTGTGCAGTGATCACATTCCTTAGTGTCCTCTCTGCACTAGCTGTTCATCCGATATGTCTTTGCTAATCTTTTCTCATGCCTGTTACTTGTTTCTTTTTCCTGTGGAGGAGGTTTTATTAATAGAAATATAGGAGTTTTGATGAGTTCAGTGTATTCATCTTCCTTTCATATATCACGCTTCTGGTGTCATCAAAGAACTGTTACTTACACTTTCATTCCAGTAATGTCTCCCGTACACTCTTTAAACATAAGCAAGTACTATTGCCTGAAGTTACAGACCGAGTTCCCTGTGTGGGGATGGAATGGGGCCTCTCACATAGTGTGACCTCTGTTCCCACAGCTCCACCTCAAGTCTGCAAAGTCCACCCCACATGTGTTCTCCTCACTAGAGAGAGGGATGAGGGTTGCCCCAAACCAGAGGGTGGTCCAGGGTACAGATGGAAGTGTGTGTGTGTCTGTTTGTGTGTGTGTTTGTGTGTGTGTGTGTGTGTGTGTGAGAGAGAGAGAGAGAGAGAGAGAGACAGAGAGAGAGAGAGAGAGCTGTGTCCACAGGTCTTAGAATCTCTAGTACAGACTAGGCAGTAGATTGTACTTCACAGTCTTCTATGAACTGAGCTCTGTCTATTCTCAGAGCCCCTAGCAAGGCCATAGGGAGGTAGGAAGTAGATTTGCATGTCACCCGAGGATAAGAGAGGCCCTGAGCACCCATCCCAGCTGCAGGCTTAGAAGCTGATCCTGCGACATCTGCACCATGGCCTGGAGCCCTCTCCTGCTCCCCCTCCTCATTATCTGCACAGGTGCTGGCCCTAGGGATCAGCCCACACAGACACCAGGCAGCAGAGTGGGATTGCCTTTAGCTCAACACAGGGGATGCAGCAGGGGCTGTGCCCTCTGGGAATGACCCTCATCCTCACACTCACCTCTCTTCTCCTCTCCTCTTGCAGGATCAGTGGTCACTGCTGAGCCGAGTCAACCACAGTCAGTCTCTGTGGCCTTGGGACAGACGGTCACGATCACCTGCCAAGGAATAAGCAGATATGCTAGCTGGTACCAGCAGAAGCCTGGCCAGGCCCCGGTGTTGCTTGTTGATACTGATGGTGACAGGGCTTCAGGGATCCCTGCCCGATTCTCAGGCTCCACCTCAGGCAGCACAGCCACCCTGACCATCAGCGGGGCCCAGGCTGAGGATGAGGCTGACTATTACTGCCTGTTAGTAGACAGCAGTTACAATCATCCACAGTGACACGGGCCCATGAGGAAGTGAGACAAAAACCCCTCTCTTGTCTGGGTCACTCTCTCCTCCAGCCCCAGGAGGATGAGACACGGGCAAGAGGAGGTGACCCGGGTCCCTAGTCCTTTGCCCCACCCCAGCTCTCGGGCATTCTCTGCAGAGGTGAGTCCTGAGTGGATTTGGGACTGCAGGAAGGGGCTCCAGGTGTTTCTTTGACCACAGAGTTGTGGGGATTGAAGACCAAGGTGGAAAGACTGAGAGGGCAGAGCACGAGGAACTGCAGAGACAGCTCTGGAGTTGAGCAAAGATTCTAAAGCACAGATGAGCACAGGGGTGAGGGAGGAAGAGGATGGGCAGGAGGAATAGTCTCCCTGAGATATCACAGGGAGCTTCTTGTATGGAGAGCACACACACACACACACAGACACACACACACGGGTGCACACATACACACACACACAGGCACACACACACCCACCTGCACACACATGTCTGCACCACACACATAGGCACACACACACATACCTGCACAAAAATAGGCACACACAGTCATATTTGTTTGTTCCCTGGTCAGAAGAGACAGATCCTAGTAAGGCATTGGTTGTCTGTCAGGAGCGCTTTGCTCACTGGTAGGAAAATTTGTCCAAACTTTAGGCTGATGTGGTGCCTCAGAAGGGAGTAAAAAAGCAAACTGAGGGCAAGGCTTGAATGTGTCTGGAGAATTTACAGAACCAAAATGTAAATTAAGAAAAAAAAATATAAATACAGGTGCCCAGTATCTAGCATGGGTCATTGCACAAATTTTGGCATTTATCAAAGATTTTCTGTGAAGATTTAGGAATGTATTAGCCCTAATAATACAAACCGCAATGAGCCCATCCTGACAGTGAAATTTTCTGGATGTTCTGTAACTAGATATGGAGACTATTATATTGAAAATGTTCCCTTGTTGTGAGAGAAGCAGATGAGTGAACATGCTATATAAGACACGGGACACATTAAAATATGACCACAATTGGGCCTCCCCTGGTGGCGCAGCAGTTGAGCGCTAGTCTGCGAGGCTGCCCGCAACCTCTGCAGCGCTGGTTTGTTCCCCCATCACTGGAGAGGGTACCACAAAAAAAAAAAGAAAAGAAAAAAGAAAAAATATGAGCACAATTGACATTCTAGCAATAAACATGATACTTTCTGAGATGTAATAATACAATGGAAGACAAAAGCGAAAAATTGCTGATGCAAATGTAAAGTTTACTGAACTTTATGATGTAACCATCTAACACATTGTTTGATACTGAGAGAAAAGAAAAAAGTGACAAAACGACCAGTTATCCAAGGTACAGGAGAACATCAAGGGTCCAAATGAGTGTAGGTGATGACACTAGGGAGAAAGCCCGGTAAGAAAGGAGGCTAGAACAAATATTTGGAAAAAGAAAATATATTTTTATTTAATATAAAATAATATATTTTTATAAAAAACATATTTTTTTTTTACCTGTATTGTTTCCTAGTTTTATTTTTTTTTTTTTTTTGTTTTTTTTTTTTTATAAATTTTATTGTTATATTCCCCATACAATTGCAGCCCCCCCATTCTGACCCCAATCCCTCCCCTCCCGCCCCCGCCCCCCTAAAAGTGTCTCTGGTTCATAGTTTTTTGTTGATTTTGATTTTCACTTTCTTATAGTTATTCATTTCCTGGTCCCTTATTTAAGTTTTCTAGATTCCTGCTATGAGTGAGACCATCCGGTATTTTTCTTTTTCTTTTTGGCTTATTTCGCTGAGCATGATCCCTTCCAGCGCCATCCATGTTGCTGCAATTGCATGTGTTTATCTTTTTGAATGCTGAGTAATATTCCATGGTATATATGTACCACATCTTCTTGATCCAGTCATCTATTTTGGGCATTTGGGTTGTTTCCAAAGCTTAGCTATTGTAAACAGTGCTGCTATAAACATAGGGGTGCAGGTGTTCTTTGGAATGGATGTTTCTGTGTCCTTTGGGTAAATACCTAGGAGTGGAATTGCTGGATCATATGGAAGCTCTATGTTTAGTAGGTCCAGAAATCTCCACACAGCTCTCCATAGTGGTTGGACCAGTTTGCACTCCCACCAACAGTGCAGAAGAGTTCCTTTTTCTCCACACCCTCGCCAGCATTTGTTGTTGCTAGTTTTTTTAATATGTGCCATTCTCACTGGTGTAAGATGGTATCTCATGGTAGTTTTGATTTGCATTTCCCTGATGGCAAGTGATGTTGAACATTTTTTCATATGCCTGTTGGCCATTTGCATTTCCTCTTCAGAGAAGTTTCTTTTTAGCTCTTCTGCCCATTTTTTGACTGGATTATTTTCTTTGTAGTTGCTGAGTCTCATCAGCTCTTTGCAGATTTTTGTGATCAGTCCTTTATCATTAGTGTTGGGTGCAAAAATGTTCTCCCAGTTGGTGGGGTTTCTCTTTGTTTTTGTTATTGTCTCTTTTGCTGTGCAGAAGCTCTTTAATTTGATGTAGTCCCAGCTGTTTATCTTTGCTTTCACTATCACTGCTTTGGGTGATGTGTCTGTAAAGATGTCTTTGATGTGCAGATCACGTAGTGTTTCGCCTATATTTCCTTCTATATATTTTATGGTTTCAGGTCTTATGTCTAGTTCTTTAATCCATTTTGAGTTGATTTTTGTGTATGGTGTGAGGTAGTGGTCAAGCTTCATTCTTTTGCATGTAGCGACCCAGTTTTCCCAGCACCATTTATTGAACAAACTTTCTTTGCTCCAATGCATAGTCTTTGCTCCTTTGTCAAAGATTAGTTGACCATAAATCTGTGGATTTATTTCTGGATTTTCTATTCGATTCCATTGGTCTGTATGTCTGTTCTTGTTCCAATACCATGCAGTTTTGATGATTATGGCTTTGTAGTATAGTTTGAAGTCTGGGAGTGTAATGCCTCCATTCCCTTCTTTTTTTTTCAGGAGAGCTTTGGCTATTCGGGGTTTTTTGTGATTCCATATGAATTTCATCAATAATTGTTCTATTTCTTTGAAGAATGACATTGAAATTTTGATTGGAATAGCATTGAATCTGTATATTGCTTTTGGAAGGATGGCCATTTTAATAATGTTTATTCTTCCAATCCACGAGCAGGGGATGTCTCTCCATTTCTTTGTGTCTTCTTCTATTTCTTTTAACAGTGTTTTATAGTTTTCTTTGTATAGGTCCTTTATCTCTTTTGTTAGATTTATTCCCAAATATTTGATTTTTTTTGTTTCAGTAACAAAAGGGATGGTTTTTTTATTTCTTCTTCTTCAGATTTATTGTTTGTGTATAGGAAGGCTACTGACTTTTGCATGTTGATTTTGTATCCTGCCACTTTACTGAACTGATTGATGAGTTGAATTAGCTTTTCTGTGGAGTTTTTGGGGTTCTCTATGTATAATATCATATCGTCTGCAAATAGTGATAGTTTGACTTCTTCTTTTCCTATTTGGATTCCTTGGATGTCTTTCTCTTGTCTTATTGCCCTGGCTAGGACTTCCAGTATTATATTGAAAAGCAGTGGTGAGAGTGGACATCCTTGTCTTGTTCCAGATCTTAATGGAATTGCTTTCAGCTTTTCACCATTGAGAATGATGCTGGCTGTTGGCTTGTCATAGATGGCCTTTATGATGTTGAGGTATGTTCCTTGTATCCCAAGAATTTCAAGGGATTTTATCATGAATGGGTGTTGCACTTTGTCGAAAGCTTTCTCAGC